GTAGTAGTAGTAGTAGTAGTAGTAATAGTAGTAGTAGTAGTAGTAGTAGTAGTAGTAGTAGTAGTAGTAGTAGTAGTAGTATAGTAGTATAGTAGTAGTAGTAGTAGTAGTAGTAGTAGTAGTAGTAGTAGTAGTAGTAGTAGTAGTAGTAGTAGTAGTAGTAGTAGTAGTAGCCGTAGTAGTAGTATGGTTCGGAACCGTACTATATATAGTCGACTATCGTTACTAGTAGGTTATATAGTCGTGTTACTAGTGAAGGCAGTGTTATTCTTATTGTTGACAAGATACGTCTTAGTAGTACTATACTGTAATACTATTACTAACAATGCCTTTCTAAGTAGTAAACCTATGAGTACTGTTACCACTGCTGATTATTACTATTAATGCTCGTATTACGCTTCTCCTCATCCTCCTCCTCCTCCACCCACACACCTTGCAGCTCGCAGGATGAAGGGAAAGTTCTGTCGAACCGGAGCTCCCGCATGAAATGCTGGCACATGGGGCGCTCGCCTTTCAAGGCGGGAGCTTCGCGCTATATATTACCCTGGCGACGTACCCAACCCATGCGCAACGCGGGGCAGGAGTACCTCGGGAGAGTTGACGAGAGGGCGGCGACGTGACATGGACGCATATACCGCTGCGAGCGGCAGTCGGAAGGTTCACAGGTCCCCAATCAAGTGAAAAACAATGAGACTAAGTGAACCCCTGAGTCACTAAGGAAGACACAAGGTCCAAAAGGAGACTGTAGGCAAGGGGCTTGAAACGTCGGCGGGGCAGCAACAACATGACAAGGCCGCCCAGGGACGGCGAGGTCCTGCTCAGGTCTGCGCAGTGCGTCGCTCCGCTGGACCCACCAGCAACCTTCGAACGTGGCAAGCCCACCAGCAGCCCTCGAAGGTGGCAACGGTTGCGCAGATCGCAGCCCACCGGAGACGGCGAGGTCTACCTCAGGTCCGAGGGGTGCCTCACTCCGCTGGACCCACCAGCAGCCCTCGAAAGTGGCGACGGTTTCGCAGATCGCAGCCCACCAGAGACGGCGAGGTCTACCTCAGGTCCGCGCGGTGCCTCACTCCGCTGGACCCACCAGCAGCCCTCGAAAGTGGCGACGGTTTCGCAGATCGCAGCGCCCCAGGGACGGCGAGGTCTACCTCAAGTCTGCGCGGTGCCTCACTCCGCTGGGCCCACCAGCAGCCCTCGAAAGTGGCGGCAGTTTCGCAGATCGCAGCCCCCCAGGGACGGCGAGGTCTACCTCAGGTCCGCGCGGTCAACCCGCTGGACCCACCAGCAGCCCTCGAAAGTGGCGACGCTTTCGCAGATCGCAGCCCCCCAAGGACGGCGGGGTCTACCTCAGGTCCGCGCGGTGCCTCACTCCGCTGGACCCACCATCAGCCCTCGAAAGTGGCGACGGTGCCGCAGATCGCAGCCCCCCAGGGACGGCGAGGTCCACCTCAGGTCCGCGCGGTGCCTGACTCCGCTGGACCCACAAGCAGCCCTCGAAAGTGGCGACGGTTTCTCAGATCGCAGCCCCCCAGGGACGGCGAGGTCTACCTCAGGTCCGCGCGGTGCCTCACTCAGCTGGACCCACCCGCAGCCCTCGAACGTGGCGACAATTTCGCAGATCGCAGCCCCCCAGGGACGGCGAGGTCTACCTCAGGCCCGCGCGGTGCCTCACTCCGCTGGGCCCACCAGCAGCCCTCGAAAGTGGCGACATTTTCGCAGATCGCAGCGCCCCAGGGACGGCGAGGTCTACCTCAGGTCCGCGCGGTGCCTCACTCCGCTGGGCCCACCAGCAGCCCTCGAAAGTGGCGACGGTGTCACAGATCGCAGCCCCCCAGGGACGGCGAGGTCTACCTCAGGTCCGCGAGGTGCATCACTCCGCTGGGCCCACCAGCAGCCCTCGAAAGTGGCGACGGTTTCTCAGATCGCAGCCCCGCAGGGACGGCGAGGTCTACCTCAGGTCCGCGCGGTGCCTCACCCCGCTGGACCCACCAGCAGCCCTCGAAAGTGGCGACGGTTTCTCAGATCGCAGCCCCCCCCCGCCCAGGGACGGGGAGGCCTACCTCAGGTCCGCGCGGTGCCTCACTCCGCTGGACCCAACAGCAGCCCTCGAAAGTGGCGACGGTGCCGCAGATCGCAGCCCCCAGGGACGGCGAGGTCTACCTCAGGTCCGCGCGGTGCCTCACTCCGCTGGGCCACCAGCAGCCCTCGAAAGTGCGACGGTTTCGCAGATCACAGCTCCCAGGGACGGCGAGGTCTACCTCAGGTCCGCGCGGTGCCTCACTCCGCTGGGCCCACCAGCAGCCCTCGAAAGTGGCGACGGTGCCGCAGATCGCAGCCCCCCAGGGACGGCGAGGTCTACCTCAGGTCCGCGCGGTGCCTCACTCCGCTGGGCCCACCAGCAGCCCTCGAAAGTGGCGACGGTGTCGCAGATCGCAGCCCCCCAGGGACGGCGAGGTCTACCTCAGGTCCGCGCGGTGCCTCACTCCGCTGGCCCACCAGCAGCCCTCGAAAGTGGCGACACGTTCGCAGATCGCAGCCCCCAGGGACGGCGAGGTCTGCTCAGGTCCGCGCGGTGCCTCACTCCGCTGGGCCCACCAGCAGCCCTCGAAAGTGGCGCGGTTTCGCAGATCGCAGCCCCCCAGGGACGGCGAGGTCTACCTCAGGTCCGCGCGGTGCCTCACTCCGCTGGGCCCACCAGCAGCCCTCGAAAGTGGCGACGGTTTCGCAGATCGCAGCCCCCCAGGGACGGCGAGGTCTACATCAGGTCCGCGCGGTGCCTCACTCCGCTGGGCCCACCAGCAGCCCTCGAAAGCGGCGACGGTGTCACAGATCGCAGCCCCCCAGGGACGGCGAGGTCTACCTCAGGTCCGCGCGGTGCCTCACTCCGCTGGGCCCACCAGCAGCCCTCGAAAGTGGCGACGGTGTCGCTGATCGCAGCCCCCCAGGGACGGCGAAGAGAGGGCAGGAGGAAGGAGGAGGGAGGAGGCGGGAGGCGGGAGAAGGGAGACGCAACCGCGCCGCTCTATTCAAAACGAATACCCAACCAAGGAGGGTTGGGAAAAATGCTGGCAATGACCCATGAGAAGGGGACTTGGGACGGGAGGGTGTCCTGCAACACTGCTGATGAATCTTGAGCTTACTCTGGTCCTCCTCCGCCTCCTCCTCCTCCGCCTCCTCCTCCTCCTCCTCCTCCTCCTCCTCCTCCTCCTCCTCCTCCTCCTCCTCCTCCTATTCCTCCTCCTCCTCCCCCCCTCCACCCCTGCCTCCCCTCCATCGGACCCGCCGGGATCACGAGGCGCACTCGGTGCAATACCGAAGAACTTGTACTCGAAATGGTCGTCCACGGGGCCGACCTTGCACCACTCGATGTCTTGGTCTTTGCGGCGGGATCGACCGCCAGATGTCAACTCTTAGCGGTTCTGCGACGGGGAGGAAAACCCTCAACCAAATCAGACTTGTAATGAGCCGAGAGGGGTCTTGAGGCAAACAGGTCCTAAACCATGGGGTGCGTCTCATCCCGACCCGTTTTCGGATGGCCCCGAGGCCCAGGAAAGGGTCGCATCAGGCCGAAGAAACGGCGGGACTGGCCCCAGACTCACCTGGGACCCCTTCTTCACGGTGGCAAGCGAGGAGGCTGGAGGATGCCGACCACATTCGACGATGGAACCCTTGTTACCCACCAGCCCCGGGCGGTCCTCGGCGGTGCTCTGGCGGACTTCTGGCGGTCTTCCGGCGGTCTTCGGCGATCTTCGGCGGTCTTCGGACGGTCTTCGGCGGTCTTCGGCGGCTTGAAGAAGCTGCATGGCTGCGGGGCTCGCGAGGGGAGCCCACGAGCGGGCACCGCACGTGCACCCCTACACACCAGACCTGGCCAGGCCCGCTCCTGGGCCCAGGATCGGCACACAGAAGGGCCCCCAGGCTCAGCGAGAACGGCGCACGTCTTCACCGGCGTTTCGGGCCCAGGGCGCAGCTTCTCAGCTTGTTCCATGTTCGAGCCTGCTGCCTCTGCTTTGCTATTCACCCAGTGGTCTTCTCGCTCTCGTTTCGGCTTCGAACCTCTGGCGCCGCACGACCGACCCACCGAGCGACCGAGGAGGAGGAGGAGGAGGAGGAGGAGGAGGAGGAGGAGGAGAAAGAGGAGGAGGAGGAGGAGGAGGAGGAGGAGGAGGACCTCCCCATCCTCCCTTCTCCCCCGTTCTGCCTGTGGTAGTGGTGTGATTGAGAATTAGCCTTCAGTGGCAACTCATGGGAGCCTCCCGTACCATTTTGTCGGCTTTTGCGAATCGACGCTAGTCGACGCCATATCAGCGCTAATCGGCGCTAAATCGACCCCAATCGGCGCTAGCCGACGCTGAACCGGCGCTATCTCATCCACTCCCAGACGCCAATCGACGCCAATCGACGCTGGAGCCAGAATCTGAGAGGGTATACCCCAGGCTGGCATGATGTGCTGCCGAATGAGCCCATCATGCCCTGGACACCTGGTGCCCCCCCCCCCCCGCCCACTGTGACATCTGGTGGCCCCCCCCCGGGGTGGCCTCCCTCGTACTGGTGGCACCGCCAAGACCGGTTCGTCGGGGCGTCCGCCGCCTCGGCGTCCTCGCCCGTGGTGGCGGCGGGAGCCTGTGCGCCGCGAGGGGAGGGGAGCGGGGCGGGGGAGGGGGGGCTCTGAAGCAGAGGCCTCCTTCGACGGGGCCCCCGAGGGTGCGTCGGCTGGCCTCGACGCGGCCCCAGGGCGCTCCAGGACGTCCAAGATAGCCTCAAGTCGGGCATGTCCCTTTACAGGAGGGATGCCCAAGAAGAGTAACAACATCCGCCTTTGGGAAGACGTGCCCGACCTGTAAAGATGGCCTGCAGGCGGCCCACGACGCCCCCGAAAGAAACGCCCCAAAAGGTGTCCGAGGGGGACCCCGAAGCGGCAGGAGAGCCTAGAATCGAATCGACAAGTCGAATCGGCGATCGAAATGAATCGGATCGGCGGAAATCGGCAGCCAAGTCGGGAGGAATCGAATCGGCGGAAATCGGCAGAGTAGTGGGGCCTCATTGAGAAATCGGAATCCAAATCGGAATCCGAAGCCGAATCGAATCGGAACGAGCCCTGGGGCCTCGGCGGCGAGATCGCTGGCTTTCCCACGGGCTGTGCCCCACCCGACGGGCCGGGGCCGGGGCCGGGGCTGCTAATTGCAGACATCCTGGGGCAAAGGCACCCCGCACGTCCCGCGTGCCGCGGCCGCCTGCCCCCAGGACGCCTGGCGATGCCCATCGGTCGCTGAAAGTAGGCATTTTGGGATTCCCAAATTCCAATCTGCTTTACGCGCCTTCCTACTTCAATGATCGAGTGGCTTCACCTTTCCCGTCCTCCCAAGGGAGCGGACGGAACCCAGTCTACTACTTTCAACGCCCTCCTACTTCATGCTTCTACCTACTTCTTCCGTCCGATGGGTATCCCTGGGCATCCCCCCTGGCGCTTGCCAAAGCGTGGCAGGACAGGGACAGACGAAACCGACAGGCCATGACTCGGCGGCGAGCGAGGAGGGAAGCGAGAAGGAGCGGGCCTTCTCAGAGGGCTCGGAAGTTCGCCCTCTGACAAGTGTCCAGAGCCATTCCCGAAGACACAGTGAACTGCTCGGAAGGCATGAGGGCTTCTGAGAAGTCCCGCCGCCTTCTGAGAAGGCCTTCTCCTTCGCACTTTCCCCCCTCGCTCGCCGCCGAGGGTGGGGCTGTAAGATCGCGCCGAGTCGCTGGTGGATCGGCGATGCATCGGCTATGCATCGGCGACGTCCTCGTTGCGTCGGCGACGTGAGCGTAGAGGACGTCAGCGCCGATGCGACCCAATCTACTCCGGCCCCATTTGGGAGGCCTGGATGCAACGCTGCTGCACGTGCACCGGAGCGCCCACGCACGCTTCTGGCACCAGACGCGACGATGCGACCCAGCGTGCCAAACTGCTTCGTGCGGAAGCACTGCTTTGACAGCTCGACTGCAGTGGTTCCCGACCGTGGTCGATGGCGGCTGCCCGTGCTGAGACTCGACTGCTACTTTGCGTTGGGAAGGCGGGTGGCCGTGAATGAGACTGCCGTCCTTCGGGGGAGAAGCTTGGACCACTGCCCCCTATGAATAACCACCATTCCCCCAGGCGACCGGCAGCCAACCAGTCCCCGTGACAACCTCCCCAACCATGCGTACAAACAAAAAAAAATGCACCAGCCTCCGCCCCTGCGCTCCCCTTCCGAATACTTCACAACGGACAGCGAATATCGCACTCGAGCGGGTATCCCCAGCCCCCGTGCTCCTCGGTGGTCTCCGCCTCGCCGCTCTCCTTCGGCGCGCTGCTCTCTGCGTCCTCCAAGGCCGTGGTCAAGGTGCAGGGCGCCTCTGCCGCTATTTTAGGGGCGACTAAAAAGGAGGCCGAACCTATAAGAAGAAGAAGAAGAAGAAGAAACGACATAAACACACACTTTTGGCGCTCCGCGCGGATAGCTCTTGGATCTGCGCTGGACCTCCCTCCCAAGCGCGCGGAGCACGCCAGTGGCGGCGCCGGGGGCGCCGCCGGGGGAGCCCAGCGCGGATCCAAGAACTATCCGCGCGGAGCGCCAAAAGTGTATGTGCATGCCGCTCTTTCTTCTTCGAGAACTGCATCGACGTCCCTATCGTGATCTGTATGCTCCGAGCTACTGAGCCCACCAACCGCCGTTTCGGCCTCTGCACTGCGGATGGCGCGGACAGCAAGTGCGTTCGCCCCCCTCCCCCCGACGTCAGGGGGGACGTGTTTGACATCCACAGCCTCGGAGCCGCCGCCAGCCAATCCCGTCAAGGTCCACAGTCACTCCCGATTTCTTGGGACGAAGGCCATTGCAGAGCTTTGACCACACCTGCTTCCTCCGAGCGTTGCCCGCAGACCACGACTTCTCCTCACGATCCGGATCCGGCGCACGGGCCGAGTCGAGGTGCCAAGAGGGCAAGGGTTTGCTCTAGCTCCTCGAGTACGCAAGTCTGCGGTGCAATTCGCACGTGGGGGGGGGGCAGACACGTCTTCGACACACGGAGGAGAGGACGCCAAAGGAGAGAGAAGGACGGAGTAAGAAGGGAAATACGAAACCGGAGGGAGACAAAACAGCAGAGGAACACGAATTACGCATATGCATTTGCATGATTCGCTTTCCTATGGTCGATCTCCCTTCCTTGTTGATATCCCTTCCTTCCGTATTTGCATAATTCGCTTTCCTATGTGGTCTGATCCGCTGGCCAGGACTGGTGCGTTTAAAACACCAATCATGGCCAGGCCCATCCTCCTAGGCCCAGGGTCGGTGCATACGCCCTCCTGGGTTGACCAGTGAGGCATATGGCATACACACCGCTCCTGGGCCCAGCATGTGCGTGACCCGAACGGGATTTGCAAAGTTCTTGTCGCTCGAAGAACAGAGAAAATAGGATGAATAGAGAGAGCGTGAGGATACATTGGGAGATTTGCGCGTCAAATTCCCCTGAAGGTCATCCGTGGATCCCGCTTTGCGGGCTCAGTGCTTGGTCACCCTGCACTTGCCAACACCTAAATGGAACATTCAGTCGATCATATGACACTCCGTCCTAGTCGGGCTGTCGGCGAAACAGCGCAAGCCTCCTGAACAAGAGGGGGAGACAGCGCGAGGATAAACGCAAATGAAACTCGACTTTCCTCGCGCCTCTGAAGTCGCCCCAGAGTGAGCGCCAGCTCAACGTGCCGCCCAGCCTGGCTTGGTCCCTCAATCGAGATCGCTGCTCCAGGGGCAACTGCTCAATGTGAACGTGCTCCCGCGCGCACCCAGGGGAGAAAGGAGAGGTAGGGACGGAGGAGGATCGAGGATGGAGGCTCGGGGCGTTTGGACGTCTCTGGGCCTTCTTGAGCCTCTGGACGCCTCTGGGGGCCCCCGGGGATCTCTGCAAACCCCTGGAACTCAAGAGGAGGAGGAGAAGGAGGAGGAGGAGGAGGAAGAGGAAGAAGAGGAGACGCCCACCTAACCGTGATGGTCTGAGGAGGAGGAGGAGGAGGAGCAGGAGGAGGAGGAGGAGAAGGAAGAGGAGAAGAGGAGAATCGAGGATCGAAGATTCTGGACTCGCTTCGCCCTGTTTGAAGCTCACGGGACCCCCAGGAGGCAAGGGCTGAATGCGCCTCGAATTTCTTGTCCGCGCGCGCCCCAGGAACTGTCTGGGCGTCGATTTCAAGGGGGCGGGGAGAAGGGACAACGGTGGACGGTGGAGGGAGGGTTAGGTTGGGCATGTCCTCCGACAGGCGGATTTTGGAAGAGAACAAGAAAATAGTATCCTGGCGAAGGACCCAACCATATGCAGTTGTGGGTACCGCAATTGTGAATATCTTCTTCGGTGAATCTCCCTATGGGGCCACGAAGCGCTGCACTGGGTGGGGGGGAACGCTGTACTGGGTGGGTGATGTGCCAACTTGGATTGGGCTTCCGGGACGCAGGCGGGCGGTCCCACTGGGGGCTTCGGTGGAGCTACCTATGGGGCCACGAAACGCTGTACTGGGTGGATGAAAATGCCAAATTGGGTGTGCCGGACGCATGCGGACTGTAGCAGTGGGACCTTCGGTGGAGCTCTTGGGGCCACGAAACGCTGTACTGGGTGGGTGAAACCCAGGGAGGCCGGGGAGGAGGGCCACGAAACGCTGTACTGGGTGGGGGGACGCATGTGGACGGTAGACCTGGAACCTTCCGTGGAGCTCTCTATGGGGCCACAAAACGCTGTACTGGGTGGGTGAAACCCAGGGAGGAGCTACCTATGGGGCCACGAAACGCTGTACTGGGTAAGGGGACGCATGCGGACGGCAGGGGGGGAGCTCTCTGTGGGGCCACAAAACGATGCACTGGGTGGGTGAAACGCAGGGAGGAGGGGGAGGAAGGCCACGAAACGCTGTACTGGGTGGGGGGGACGCATGCGGACGGTAGCAGTGGGACCTTCGGTAAGGCTCCCTTTTGGGCCACGAAACGCTGTACTGGGTGGGTGAAACGCAGGGAGGAAGGGAAGGAGGGCCACGAAACGCTGCTCTGGGCGGGAGGGGGCGCAAGCGGACGGTAGACCAGGGACCTTCGGTGGAGCTCCCTATGGGGCAACAAAACGCTGTACTGGGTGGGTGAAACGCAGGGAGGAGGGGGAGGAGGGCCACGAAACGCTGTACTGGGTGGGGGGGACGCATGCGGACGGTAGCAGAGACTTTCGGTGGGGCTCCCTATGGGCCACGAAACGCTGCACTGGGTGGGAGGACGCATGCGGACGGTAGCAGTGGGACCTTCGTTGGGGTTTCCTATAGGGCCACGAAACGCTGTACTGGGCGGGGGACGCATGCGGAGGGTAGGAGGAGGAGGGGGAGAAGGTGGAGAGGTTCAAAACGAGGACCAAACACCACAGGATGGCTGGGATAAAGTCCATGTTAGCCAGCGTGGTACCCAAACAGTGGGCTCTTGCAAAATATGCTGTGCAATAAATGTGGTGCAACGTATGCGATGCAACCTCTGTAAGGCAATAAACGCGATGCAATATATGTGGTGCAAAAATATGCGATGCAACCTATGTAATACAATATATGCGGCGCCAGTGTGATGCAATGTCTCCGATGCAACCTATGTAATGCAATTCACTTGCCGAACTTGAAGTTGTCAACTCCACTGCTCGCGCAATCATCCCACCCACCCACCCGCAACTTGGTTTGCAAAACCCATGCGGTACCAAGCACAGATATCGCTCTCGGGTCGTCTTGGAGACCTCGGGGGCGTCTCAAGAGCGCCCCAAGAAGGCCGGAGAAGCAAGACGGCCGACGACGACGACGACGACGACGACGACGACGACGACGGCGGCGACGACGACGACACCGACGTCGACGACGACGAAGACGACGACGCCGACGCCGACGACGACGACGAAGACGACACGACGTCGCCAACGAAGACGACGACGAGGGAGGAGGGAGGACGACGACGGCGACAACGACGACAACGACGACAACGACGACAACGACGACAACGAGGGAGGAGGGAGGACGGCGACGACGCGAACGACGAAGGAGGAAGGACGGCGACGCCGACGACGACAACGACGAGGGAGGAGGGAAGACGACGACGAGACGACGACGACAACAACGACGACGACGGCGACGAAATAGGAGGGACGACGACGAAACGCCGACGACGGACGACGACGACGATGACGAGGGAGGAGGAGGAAGGACGACCACGGCGACAACGACGACGGAAACGACCACGACGCCAAAGAGGACGACGACGACGAACACGAGGAAAGACACAGGACGACGTAGGCGATGACGACGACGACGACGACGACGCGGGAGGAGGGAGGACGGCGACGACGACGACGACGACGACGACGACGCCACAAGAGCGCGCGCGCACGCTTTTGTTGAAAATCCGTGTTGCGAAACCTTGTGTTTTTGTAAGTTTTCTGGACGCGCGATTTTGAAATCCTTCCGAAACCGATGGGTTTTGTAGGATTTCGGCGTACGCGCGCGACGACGCGCGCGTCTGCACTTCGTCAGATTTTTTGCAGAGGATTCTCGCGACGGCACACGCGCAAGGGCGTTCGACAGATTTCGACATGCACGCGCGACGCCCGTTTGGTAGCATGTTGTGAAAATCTTGAAAAACCAATGCTTTTCTTAAGATTTCGCAAGAGCTCGCGCGTAAGCTTTTTTAGCTAATCAGTGCTACGAAACCCTGTGTTTTTGTATGTTTGTTTGAAAACTCGATTGCGAAATCCTTCTGACACCGAAGGTTTTTGAAGGATTTCGGCATGCGCGCGCGACGACGCGCGCGTGTGCACTTCGTCCAATTTTTTGTAAGGGATTCGTGAAAAAAAGTGCTATGCTAGAACAAAAAATGTCACCGCATAATGTTTTTTAAAGGGAACCTCAGGGGGGGGGGATACCGGTTGGCCTGGGACATTGCCATTTCATATTTAGGATGGACATGTGGTCAGAATCATATGTGATATACATACCCGAAAGGGGGGCGATAACGCCGGGGGAGATAGAGTCTATTCTCTTTTCAGAAAGGAGAGTGTATGTAAGGTGCAATATATCTGGTGCAGCGTAGATGATGCAACCTATGTACTGCAGTCTATGCGGTGGAATATATGTGGTGCAGTGTATGCGATGAAACCTATATAATGCAATGCATGCGGTGCAATGTAGATGGTGATGGTGCGATATATGCGATGCAACATATGTAATGCAGCCTATGCGGTGCAATGTATGCTATACAGTCAATGTAATGCAATATAGGTGTGGTGCAATGTATGCGATGCAACCGATGTAATGCAACACATGCGGTGCAACTGATGTAGTACAATGTATGCAATGCAACATATGTAATGCAGTCTATGCGGTGCAATCTATGTGGTGCAATGTATGCGATGCAACCTATGGAATGCAATCTATATGTGGTGCCATGTATGCGATGCTGCGATGGCGACGGGCGGCGACGGGTGGCACGGGACGCGACGGGCGGGGATGGCGGCGACGGGCGGCGACGGCGACGGGCGGCGACGGGCGGCGACGGGCGGCACGGCGGCGATTTTGCGGCGGTGGTCCCGAGATGGTTAACGCAAGTAAGAAGCCCTAAGTGCAAACACCTGTTTCGGGGGAAAAACCTAAAAAGCTAGAACAATCGTCCCTAGAATACTATTCTTGACCATTCCTCCTGTAGAAGACCATGCCCGACTTAAAGGGAGGAGGGTGAGGGAGGGAAGGAAGGCAGGGAGGGCACAGAGAGGGAGGGAGGCAGGAGAGGAGAAAGCGGAGGGAGGAAGGCAGGGGACAGGAGGCAGAGGGAGGAAGGGGGACAGAAGGAAAAGGGAGCGATGGGAAGAGGAAGAAGGGAGGGCGGGGGGAGAGGGAGGATAACGGTGGTGATTATGATGAGGGGGGGTGAGGAGCAGGAGGCGCTGCCTGGGGTGCCTCGAGAAAAGAATGGCCCACCTGTGATGTAGGAGAGCGGGAGAGAGAGCGAGAGAGGAACAACAACAACAACAACAACAACAACAACAACAACAACAACAACAACAACAATCATTTAGACTGGGGACACTCCGTTCTCACCAGTGCCAGGGTTTTCATAGGAGGCGGGCAATACCCCCACTTTGTGGGGGGGCCGGTTCAAGCTCTACCAAATTTCCAAACGACTCTTCGCCACCACCCACACCCAGCTTCCCGCCCTATGACGTTCGGACACTTCACTTCGTGGCATGCGGACGACCGTGGCTACTATTCAGGGCCCCGCGGCCGACGACGACGGCGTGCGCGCGCGAAGAAAAAACGAATGTGTCCAATATGGTATTATTTGACAGGGATGATGGCCCTGGCATGCGCGCAACCGTTGTTGCAGAAGTTCGAAGCACGTGAAAAAGTTGCTCGCAAGAGCCCGTTTGACAGAAATGTTGAAAAAAATATTGGGTTTCCTCAGAAATCCGCAAGAGCGCGCAAGATGAATTTTTGAAACTTTTTTTTGAAAAACCATTGGGTTTTTCATGTTTTTATGTTAAAATCGCTACGAAACTAAGGTTTTGGAAGGATTTCGTCTTGCGCGCGCGAATGTCCACTTTACCTTATTTTTTGCAAGGGATTCTTGAAGTTTGGTTATGTTAGAACAAGAAATGTCCACTTTAGCTTATTTTTTGCAAGGGAAAACGGGGGACAACAAAACAACCGGATCCGGACACCCACGTTTTGCCTGAGACTTCCTCACGAAAATGATGAAAATGTGGCTGCGGCCTAGGCGCGGCGAGGGGGCCGCGCACCAGGGGTCCCAACAATAATTATTCTTTAGAATAAATAATGTTCAACAACAACAACAACAACAACAACAACAACAACAACAACAACAACAACAACAACAACAACAACAATTACTAGCACGTGGGGACACTCCGTTCTCACCAGTGCCAGGGTTTTCATAGGAGGCGGGCAATACCCCCACTTTGTGGGGGGGCCGGTTCAAGCTCTACCAAATTTCCAAACGACTCTTCGCCACCACCCACACCCAGCTTCCCGCCCTATGACGTTCGGACACTTCACTTCGTGGCATGCGGACGACCGTGGCTACTATTCAGGGCCCCGCGGCCGACGACGACGGCGTGCGCGCGCGAAGAAAAAACGAATGTGTCCCGCATGGTATTATTTGACAGGGATGATGGCCCTGGCAGGTGCGCAACCGTTGTTGCAGAAGTTCGAAAAAGTTGCTCGCAAAAGCCCGTTTGACAGAAATGTTTAAAAAGTGTTGGGTTTCCTACGAATCCGCAAGAGCGCGCGGGATGAAATTTTGACAATTTTTTGTTGAAAAACCATTGGTTTTTTGATGTTTTTATGTTAAAATCGCTACGAAAACTAAGGTTTTGGAAGGATTTCGTCTTGCGCGCGCGAATGTCCACTTTACCTTATTTTTTGCAAGGGATTCTTGAAGTTTGGTTATGTTAGAACAAGAAATGTCCACTTTAGCTTATTTTTTGCAAGGGAAAACCGATCGTAACAACACAACCGGATCCGGACCCCCGTTTTGCCTGAGACTTCCTCACGAAAATGATGAAAATGAGGCTGCGGCCTAGGCGCGGCGGGGGGGTCGTGCACCAGGGGTCCCAACAATAATTATTCTTTAGAAGTAATAATGTTCAACAACAACAACAACAACAACAACAACAACAACAACAACAATCATTTTACCCGAACGCTCAGTGTTCTCACCAGTGCCAGGGTTTTCATGCGACGCGAGACAATACCCCCACTTCGTGGGGGGGCAGTTCAAGCTCTACCAAATATCCAAACGACTCTTCGCGACCACCCAAACCCAGCTTCCCGCCCTATGACGTTGGGACACTTCACTTCGTGGCGTGCGGACGACCGTGGCTACTACACTGGCGTGGGGTACACACCCACAGAACTTGGTCACTTATTCGGGGCGCGCGTGTGCCCAGCATCCTGCAATTGTGACATACAATACATGACACAGACAGACAGAGAGAGAGACAGAGAGCAGACAGAGAGAGAGACAGAGAGAGCGGAGTTGGTCACATTTTTGGGGCAAGTTCCTGAGATCGTCGTGTTTTTTGTTGGTCTTGCGCGCGCGAATGTCCACTTTACTTTTTTTTGCAAGGGAGTATTGAAATTTGATTATGTTAGAACAAGAAAAAGTAGCTCGCGCGAGCTCATGTAACATAAATGTTGAAAAACCATTGGTTTTGTGGGAGTCGGACAGCGCGCGCGGGATGAAATTTGGACATTTTTTTTTGAAAAACCATTGGGTTTTTGATGTTTTTATGTTGAAATCGTTACGAAACCTAAGGTTCTGGAAGGATTTCGTCTTGCGCGCGCGAATGTCCACTTTACCTTATTTTTTGCAAGGGATTATTGAAATTTGATTATGTTAGAACAAGAAAAAGTAGCTCGCGCGAGCTCATGTAACATAAATGTTGAAAAACCATTGGTTTTGTGGGATTCGGACAGCGCGCGCGGAAGGACATTTTGACATTTTTTTCTTAAAAAACCATTGGGTTTTTGATGTTTTTATGTTAAAATCGTTACGAAACCTAAGGTTTTGGAAGGATTTCGTCTTGCGCGCACGAATGTCCACTTTACCTTATTTTTTGCAAGGGATTCTTGCAATTTGATCAAGTAAGAACAAGAATTTTCATTTTCTATTGTTTTTTGCAAGGGAAAACGAGCGTCAACAAAAAACCGGATCCGGAGCTCATCCACTTTTCTGAAGCTTTCGCGAAAAAATGATGAAAATGTAGCTGCGGCCTAGGCGCGGCGCAGAGGTCGCGCACCAGGGGTCCCAACAATAATTATTCTTAAGAAGAAATAATGTTCAACAACAACAACAACAACAACAACAAAACTGGGAGAGGACGCGGGCGCGGGGGGGGAGAACGACAGGAAGAAAGAGGCGAGGGAACAGAAGGGGGGAGAGAAGAGGAAGAGGCGACGACGAAAGAGGAGTGCAGAGGACGCGTCCCCTTTGAGACAGCAGAGACGTCCCACTCTGCCCGTGCGACGCTCGACCCCCTCAGCCAAATCCGACAACCAGACAGGAGCGCACAGTTGTGGTGATGTGAGCACGCTGACACACTGTTACTGCAGATACCCACGGCGAAGGAGCTCTCTCCGCGCCGTGGCTGACGGCCCCAGCGGCCTTGTGGGAGCCGCTGCACGGCAAGACGGGGATCGAACTCCTCCCCTCCCACCGCGACCTCTCACCCCTCACTGACCAGAAGCACGTCCCAGACCTCCGACGTCAGGACTCTTCAGCACGGGGTCGCGTGAAGTATCGACCCCGTCCTCGGGACTGATGCTGATGGTCCCGGGGCCCCAGAACTGCCCCTGGACGCCGAAAATGGCGAGAAACCTGCGCCGTCCCACGACCACTGCAAGCCCCCTGCCTGGGCTGCCGAATACGAGACAGCCCGGCGCACGACGGTGGGGAGGAGTCGACCACAGAAGGAATGCAGAGACGGGGGGAGGGCGAGGCAGGTTGCAGAGGCTCCAGCCTGCGCTTCGGCTGAATCATGCGCTTTTCTGGCCGCAGCAGCGAGTCCTCACCGCATTCGGGGGCAGCCGTGGATTGGGCACAGCAGGCGGCAGGAAGAGGAGGAGCGCGCGGAAGGGGAGGGAGCACGCTCAGAACGTGAAGTCGTTGCACGTGTATGAGTCGTGCGCGCAGGCGAAGAGAAAACATAATGCCCAAAGGCGTTTTCTCCTGGAGAGGCGAGCAGCTGAACAACTCGCGCAATAGAGTTGCGAGCACATCTGGCGGCCCAGCCCACGCGCAGGGCGTCGGCACGGCCCCAGAGCTCGTCCTGCCGATCGGCACGACAGAGTTCTCACGAGAGCGGGGGTCAGGATTCACAGTGACAGACAAAGTGCTGTGGAACTGGTGGGGCAAGCCTCCGATCAGTGGTCGCTCGAAAAATCCTGGTTGCTGGCTCGCACTCCCAGACTGTGGACCTCCACTCCGCATGGGTAAAAAGAAGAAGCGCCCCGCGAAGCTGCGGCTTCTGCTCTACCTGGGTTGCGCCTCCTGTCCTTTCTCTCCCGTTCCTCTTCCCGCCCTCTCCAGGATCACAAGGGGAAGAGAATGGTGACGAGTAAATGAAAGAACAAGGGGTGGATCAAGGAGAAGGAAAAGGTGGATCAAGGAGAAGGACAAGGTGGATCAAGGACAGGGGGGGATCAAGGAGAAGGAAAAGGCAGAGGACAAAGGGTGGATCAAGGAGAAGGAAAAGTGAAGACCGATATCGTCACCATAACCGCCACCACCACCACCACCACCACCACCACCACCACCACCGTGACCCGCCATCGCAAGAGTTCCTTGCTCTCAGGGTGGGGGGGGCACCACTCTGTCTCCGCTCGACGCGTGCGCAGCACCACGTCTGACCCTGGCAGGGGAGCTGCGCTGGCAAACGCGCACACCGCCCGGCGGCGGAGCGCCGGGTCAGACGGGGGCGAGGGGAGGAGCCTTCCTGCGAAGGCAGGGAGCTTGCTGGAAGGAGCTCGGGGGCCTCTGAGAGGCACCCCAGGATGGCAGGAGGACGGGCCAGGAGGCGCCCATGCCTTCTCAGACGGCTGGCCCCCTCGCACCGCACCCCTACTGCGCGCCGCCGCGCCTGGGGCGCACACGAGTGCGCGCCCGGAGACGGCGCACAGAATGCACACGCGCGCGCGCGCGCGCTGCCAGCCCTGCTTCGGACACTGCCCCGCGCGCTCCCGCAGCAGCCGGGGCCCCACTTCTCGCAGTCGGGCGCGCCGCAGCGGTCCCCGCACGCCGCCGCGCAGCAGCTGACGTTGTCCTGGTGGAGGACGCCGCCGTACTGCGCGCAGCCTCGGCCGGCTGCACGCAGGAGTGGCCCTGGGCTCAGGTCGGGCATGTCCTCCTACCGGCAGATTTTGGTCGAAAAACGACAAATCACAGAAAATGATCAAAAATTGTCAGAAAAAATCGTCCCCTGACAATTGTCAGAATGATTTTGAATATTCCTCCTGTAGAGGGGTATGCACTTAAGCCTGGACAAGAGTGACTCTGGCAGGAGGCTTGCCGATCGTTGCATGCGATGCGACAGTGACTGCCTGCGTGCCTGGGTCTGGGTCCCCTCCCCATCGCCCACCAAAATGAGGGGGGACGACAGGCAGGAGAGCCCAGAATCGAATCGGCAAGTCGGATCGGCGATCGAAACAAATCGGATCGGCGAAAATCGGCAGCCGAGTCGGGGAAAGTCGAATCGGCGGACATCGGAAGGCTAGTACGCCTCCAATAAGAAATCGGAACCCGAATCGGAATCCCAAGTCGAATCGAATATGACTCGGAAGCCGTCGAAGTCGAATCGAATCGAATCGGAGAAGTCGAACTGAGCCCTGAGACTAGAGGGGAGAACACGCTCAGGAAGGGGGGGAGGACGGCGAGCTGGAACCGGCGGCAGATCGACGATGGGCCCCCGCTGGCGACATCGCACGTGCCTGGACGGGGAGCGGGCGATCAGGCGCCCAGCGGCCATCGGTGTGCGATCGGGGGCTGAGGCGTGCCCGCTGAGCCTGTCCCCCCCCTAACGTTGGGTCGGGCATGTCCTCCTACGGGAGGATTTGGGGACAAACATTTAAAATAGTCACATAAGATCAACTAGTCACACAAAAAAACTCCCCAGACTATTGTTGTACTAGTTTCGAGTACTCCTTCTGTAGAGGGACATGTCCGACTCAACCCCAACGCGGCCCCTGACGAAAGCCGCGCACCCGAGGTCCCCCCAGCGAAGGGCCACCCTCGCGCGCGGCCGACTCCGCATCGGCCAGCAGAACGCGCGGCCAGGGCAAAAGCCCTCGGCCCCACCTAGACCTTCCGGAGCGCCGCGTCTCGTCGGCGAGCGAGGGGGGGAAATGAGAAGGGGCGAGCCTTCTCAGACGGCTCGGAAGCCCCCTGGCCTTCGGAGAAGTGTCCTAAGCCTTCCCCGAAGACACGGAAAACTTCGCGGAAGGCGCGGGGGCTTCTGAGAAGTCCCACCGCCTTCTGAGAAGGCCTGCCCCTTCTCACTTCAACCCCTCGCTCGCCGCCGAGTGTCTGCCGATCTCAAAATCTGAACGCCCACGCCGTGCCCCGACGGCAGGGAGGGCGGACATCCCGGCAAAAAAGCCCACACGAGCAGCACGTGAGAGATGCCCCGCCTGGAACGGTTGTGACGGACTGCGTGCAAGGCTGATGCGGCTGATCATAAGTGGGCAGTGTGCGGTACTGCCGCGCGCCGCATCGGAGCACCCCACAGCTGGACGCAGCATATCACGCACATCCTACGACGGAAAGCGGCGCCCCAGATCATGACGAGAGACGTCAGAAGCAGGGAGCCAAATCGGGAACGCAGGGGGCACAAATACTGGGCGACTAAAAGCGCGAACGACGCGAAGAATGTGTGGAAGACGACGGTCCCTATTTCGATTCGACGTCTTTCCGTGTCGATGGCAGTGCCTCCTCCATTCTCTCCTCCCGTCCTCCCTCCTCCACGCCTCCCTCCCTCCCTCCTCCCCCAAATGGGCACGCTGCCTTACGCAAGAGAAAACCGAACACTACCGATCACCGCAAGGTCACGCCGCTCAATGTCGGAGAAAATCGCACGCAACCGATCATCACAAGCTGCACGGCGTCAATGCAATGCCCCGTCCTGGGACGCTAAGCGCCAGGCTTTCACGAACCTTCAGCACAACAGAGATCAGCCCTGGGACCTCCTCGACTGGCGGAAGCTTGGTACCTTAGCGCCAAAAACGCTCCAATTCCTTATGTCTGCCTGTCAGGGCGCTCGTCAGTGCTCAAGTAGGCAATAGGTCATGGGCCCGGCCCCGAGGTCTGACGCCGAGAAGAAACCGGAGAGCGCCGAGAAACACCACGACCTGAAGGCTCTCGGCAAAACTTTTCTACTGCATTTCTGGTGCCAGGTCGGTCTGCCAGGTCGGGTCCGAAGCCGAGGGTGAAAACGCAGGTCGTGCTTCTTTTTCACGGCGCCTGGATCTCAGGGCACGGCGCCAGAGTACAGTTAACCCGTACAAGAAGGACGCACGATAAGGACGCAAGGGCCTTGAAAGGCCATGTCGACACTTTGCCAGCGGGGCGCGGCCAGCCAAAGCGGCCAAGGACGGGCCGTAGGGGAAGGAGGCCAGGGTAACCTTGGAAAGTCGCTCGTCCTTACTATGCGAGTTGACTGTACCACCCTTGGTGGCGCGCAGAGGGGGGTAGGGGGAGGGGGGAAAGCTTCTCAGAAGAACCCCCGCTTCCTACCAGGCGCGGGCCTTACACCTACAGAGAAGGCCCGCGCCTTCTAAGAAGCGGGGGTGCTTCTAAGAAGCATTCCCCCCTCCCCTTACCCCCCTCTGCGCGTGGCTGCCGCCCACAGCCCCGTTTTCTCCACGTGCTCCTGGGGGAGCACGCAGCTGCCGAGGCCTCCCATAGGGCGCGCCCCTCAACCTGGACTCCGAGGCGAACCCGGCCGTGCGTGGCGGCGAGCGCCACCCCCCCAGGAGGCCCGGAACAGCGAAAGCGAAGGAAGGGCATGGAGAACCGACATGCCCTTCTCCTCCTCCTCCTCCTCGAGAACCGGCATGCCCTCCTCTAAAGAAGAAAAAACACCATAAACATAAACTTTTGGCGCTCCGCGCGAACTTCTTGGATCCGCGCCGGACCCCCCTCCCTCGCGCCTGGAGCGCGCCAGGGGCGCCGTCTGAGCCGCCGGGGGGGCCCACTCCTTCTCCATCCCCACTCCTTCTCCTCGTCCTTCTCCATCCCCCTCCTTCTCCATCACCACTCCTTCTCCATCCCCACTCCTTGTCCTCCTCCTCCTCCTGCTCCTCCTCCTCCTCCTCCTCCCCCTCCGCCTCCTCCTCCTCCTCCTCCTCCACTCCTCCATCCCCACTCCTTCTCCTCGTCCTCCTTCCCCGCCATCTCCACCAACACCACCACCGACGTGGCCACCTCCTCCTCCTCCTCCTCCTCCTCCTCCTCCTCCTCCTCCTCCTCCTCCTCCTCCTCCTCCTCCTCCTCATCTCATCATCATCATCCACCACCACCACCACCACCACCACCATCATCATCATCATCATCATCATCATCATCATCATCATCATCATCATCATCACCATCATCATCAGCAGCAGCAGCATCATCATCACCATCATCATCATCATCATCATCATCATCATCACCACCACCACCATCATCATCATCATCATCATCATCAGCATCATCATCATCATCAGCATCATCCTCCTCCTACTCCTCTCCTCCTCTTCCTCCTCCGCCTGATCATCGTCATCATCATCATCATCATCAGCAGCAACATCATCAGCAGCGGCATCAGCATCATCATCATCATCATCATCATCATCATCATCATCATCATCATCCATCATCATCATTATCAGCAGCAGCATCAGCAGCAGCATCAGCATCAGCATCATCTCAGCAGCATCATCATCGGCATCATCATAAGCGTCATCAGCATCATCATCATCAGATCATCAGATCATCAGATCATCAGATCATCATCATCATCGTCATCATCATGAGCATCAGCATCCTCACCATGATCAGCATAATTACCCTCATCAACAACATCAGCCTAATCATCATAATCAACATCAGCAGCATTTCGTCATCACCGTCAGCAGCATCAGCATCGTCATCATCATCATCATCATGAGCAGCATCATTATTATCAGAATCATCATCAGCATCATCATCATAGTCAGCATCGTTCGTCAGCATCATCATCATCAGCAGCAGCATCATCAGCATCATCATCACCAGCACCATCACCATCACCATCATCATCACCATCATCAGCATCACCATCACCATCATCAGCATCATCATCGCCAATGTCATCATCATGAGCAGCCGCAGCATCAGCATCATCACCATCACCAACACTAACATCACCACCAACAGCATCAGCATCATCATCACCATCATCACCACCATTATCCTCATCACCGTGTTCGTCATCTTCAGCAGCATCACCATCATCTCAAATCATCGTCAAAATCAAACAAGATCAGCATCGTCAGCATCAAGATCATCGTCAAAATCAGCATCACCAGCATCATCAGAATCATCACCAGCATCACCATCGGCATCATCATCATCATCATCATCATCATCATCATCATCATCATCATCATTATCATCATCATCAACAACATCATCATCATCATCATCATCATCGGCATCGTCATGATCAACAGCAGCAGTAGCATAATCGTGGTCAACATCATCGCCATCAACATCATCCGCATTAGCATGATCATCATCAGCAGCAGCAGAATCGTCGTCACCATCGTCGTCCGTATCACCATTGTATTCATAATAGCCAGCATCGTCGTCAACATCGTCTATATCATCGTCGTCATCATCATCAACAACATCATCAGCAGCATCAGCATCAACATCATCATGAACATCATAATCATCACCAGCATCACCGTCATCAAGGTCATCAACATCGTCAACATAATCATCAACGCAACCGTCATCATCACCATCATCAGCAGCATCATTATCAACAACAGTATCATCATCAGCGACAAAAGCCTCGTCAGCGGTATCATCATCAGTACCAACATCATCAGCATAATCAGCATCAGTATCATCATCATTCGTCTCGTCAGCATCATCCATCTGCGCCTCGTCAGCTTGCCCACCAAAATGAATAAGACCAGTGTGACCATCCAAGCAGACACGCTAAGTGAGTTGGTGAATGGAACATGGCACAGACTCGAATGACATTGAAAATGAAATACATAGATTCAAATAAAGATGCCAGACAATTAGACATCCATGCACAACCTCGGGACGCTCAGAATTGCCCAAAGATGCGCCATCCTTGCATAAACGTCTGGCTGTGCTGCCTCGAATCTGAGGGCATCACTTGTGCCTGTGGCTGATGTCTCAGTAAGGGTCATTGTCGTCTCCGTAAGGGTTATTGTTGTCTCCGTAAGGGTCACTGTCGACGTCTCTGTCGGTGCCTCCGTGGTAGAAGTGGTAGTGGTGTCCTCTGGCTCCTCAGTCACCGCTCGAAGCGATTGACATTACATGTTGCCCCAATCTTGTCTGAACAAAGCTAGTCAAGCAGAAGTCCCCGATAACGTACTCTCTCACCTGGCGGCTCTGGGCACGAATTAGAGTGCTTAGGTTGCGTTGGCAGAGGGGCGAGAACACAACGACTGAGCCTGGCCCACAATCGGCGCCCGAGGTCCTGGTAGACAGCCATTTGCAGGGGTCCTGCGTGGGCCCCGCGAACATCTAAAGTGCGCTCCGTCGAGGGATAGATCCATGATACCATCGCCAGAGTCTTCTGACCAACCCTGGGCGAAACACTCAAAAGCTGCCCGACATCCGTGCCAGCCCCACAATCGCACACCCTGGCAGACATCGCGAGCACCCCAACAGGACAGGCCAACTATCAATGTGCCGTTTGGCCTGGAAGATCACCCCTCAGCGACGCCAACCGCACATCCACACCGATCCTGGCCAGGCCAATCCTGGGCCCAGGATCGGTGCATACGACATCCAGGCTTAGCCAGACAGGAGTGTACCAATCCTGGTCTAAGGACGGGCCTAGCCAGAATCGGTGCATGTGTACAGTAAGCATTTCCTGACCAGTAGCTCTCTGGTGGTATCCCACGGCTATCCGATATGTCTCGCCCTGAAACAACCTCAGGCCCGACTGTTGCGAACGGGCCAGCAGGGCTCTGAATTGGCCGCGCAACTGCGTCTCGTTGCCCAAATTCGCAATATTACCAAATGCTGGCACACTTGTCTTCCGTGGTTTTTGGTTCTGACGTCTGGGACTAGGGGACCTAAGGGAAACGGGCCTTGAATAGCCTGGGGGTTTGCCCATGACAAACTATTCATCCCGAATGATTTGTGGACGGACCCAAAGGCCAGGTAAGAGCCCGAGGAAGCCAAACACGGCCACACACGAATATCAGGACCCGTTTCCTTAGGACTCTTCCCCGTGGCGGAACTCGCGAGCCAAACAAGATGTCAGAGTCCAGCAATTTACTGCGGTCTGGAGTCACCGCCAGGCGTGCGGTGCTGGGCGGGAAAGGGACGCGGTCCAGGCAAGAGTGGGCGGAAGAGTCTGAGGCGGCGGCACGGAACGGGGCACTTGCGATCCAAAAATGAACCCCATCCCCATAGCATAACTGAGCACAGAACTATCAATAACATGAGTTCGATCTGCGTCGGTTCGGCGGCGAGTCCGGAGGGGAAGTGAGGAGGAGGAGGCCTTCTCAGAAGGCTCGGAAGTCCCCAGGCTTTTTGAGAAGTTTTTGAGCCTTCCCCGAAGACGCTGAAAACTTCTCAGAAGGCGCGAGGGTTTCTGAGAAGCCCCCCCCGCCTTCTGAGGAGAAGGCCTTCTCCTTCTCGCCTCCCCCCTCGCTCGCCACCGATCGGTGGGTGCGAGAGGAGAGGGGGGGATGGGGGGCAGGGGCCGAGGAGAAGAAGACCAAGGAAGGTGGGGGAGGGCGAGGCCAGGGTGCCGGGTCGAGGGGGGCAAGGGGGCCGCGCCGAGGGGGGCGAAACGTGCTGCGGCATGGGGGAAGAGAGGACGAGAGCTACAAGCAACCCGTAGAGGAAGGGGGCACGATAAAAACGCAAGGGCCTCGGAAGGCCATGTCGACACTTTTGAAGGCGGGGCGCGGCCAGCGGAAGCGGCCAGGGATGGGCCGAAGGGGAAGGATGCAAGGGGAACCTTGGAAATTGCTCAGCCTCCCTATGCGGGTTGACCGTATGATCCCTCACTCCTTCTGCGGCAACTCATGGAAGCCTCCCATGCCATCTTGGCGGATCCTGCGAAGCGACGCTATCCAACACTGATCAACGCTAAGTCGACGCTCCTCGACACTAAATCGAAGCTCATCGACGCTAAATCTGCGCATTATCATCGATCACCAGACGCTAATGCACGCTAATGCACCCTAAAACGGAATCACGAGGACAAACAAGGTTCCCATAATTTGCTAGCAAACACTCATGACCCGCTCGCAGTTTTCTCCCAAAACGCGCGTTTCCGGACCAGGCGGCGGGCTCCGACTCCGGACCAGGCGGCGGACGGGCCACGAAAATCGCCTCTTCCAGGGGCAGCGAGGCCCACGCGACGGGCCCTGCGCAAACCAAGCCCACAAGACGGGCCTCGCAACCCGAAGCTGGACACTTTTTCCCAACCATCCTGCGGTGTTTTGTTCCTCGTTTTGAAGAGACAGTGCCCCGCGTCACTCCCCTCATGTGGGCGACACCCCCTTTTTCGGCACACCCCTCGCACGTTTCGTGGCCCCACAGGGAGCTCCACCGAAGGTCCCAGTGGCGCAGCCTACATTTTTGGGCGACATCCCCACCCCTCACACACTTCGTGGCTCCGCAGGGAGTTCCACGGAAGGCCCCAGCGGCACAGCAAGCATGCGGGCGTTGCCCCATAGGGATCATAGCGAGTTTCGCCTGAGACGGTACTCACAAGTGTGTTCACAATTGCATATTGTTGGGTTCTTCGCCAGGCTAACTCTTGGTCGCGGCGGCTTGGCATCAAGCCGCGGTTGAAAAGAAGACGGAAACTCGACGGGCCCAAAGCCGATCCCACGCGACGGATCCCAAGAGTACCTACAACCCTCCTCGAAATCAAACGAAGTTCTTAATGTTGGTCGACGCGCGAAACGCGGCCCACGGGGTCCGATGTTTGTGATTGAAGTCGCCAACTTCGGTGCGAGCATTGACATGTTGGGGTCCTGGGGCGCCGCCAGGTCGCGGGAAAGACTTGCATTTGACTTCGAGGGTGGAGGACCCTCCTCCCCCTCCTCCTCCTCCTCCTCCTCCTCCTCCTCCTCCTCCTCCTCCTCCTCCTCCTCCTCCTCCTCCTCCTCGTCCTCCTCCTCCTCCTCCTCCTCCTCCACCCTCTCTCTTCCTCCTTCTCCTCCTCC